GTGTGTGTGTGTGTGTGTGTGTGTGTACCTGGATCTTCCCTACATCATGGGTGTCAAACTCAGTTCCTGGAGGGACAGAGCCGTGCAGAGTTTAGAATCAACTCTAATTAGACACACCTGACTCAACTAATCAAGTTTTTCAGGCTTATTTGAAAACTACATGGTATGTGTGTTGGAGCAGGGTTGGAACAAAACTGTGAAGGGCTCTGGCCCTCCAGGAATTGAGTTTGACACCCCTGCCCTTCATTATGGGGAACAAATTTCCCCACAAGGATAGTAATAGCTCTGCATTTTTGGTCCCCACGAGGAAACAAGCTTATAAATCATATAAAATAACGTTTTTTGAAAATCTAAAAATGCAGAAAATTTTGTGTGAGGGGTAGGGTTATGTTAAGGGGATAGAACATTGGACAGTATTGGACAGTAGAAAAACCATTACACCTATGGAATGAACCCAGAAAACCTGTGTGTGTGTGTGTGTGTGTGCGCGTTTTTGTGACAAATGAGGTAAATTTGTATAATGACAAGGGTATGACAAGGAGAAGGTGACTTTTCGTGTGTGTGTTTGTGTGTGTGTGTGTGTGTGTGTTGAAGGGGTTTGTCAGACACCGTTGCCTGACCTGATGCATTCCACTGCCTTCCCCATCAGCCTGGCTCCACTGCCCTGTGGAATTGTGGGTAAGTCAGTGTTGGTTCTGTCTGGCTGCTTGTTGTCATTGGCGTCTGGGCTGAACGAGCGAAGTTGGGAGACACTAACTCATACAGACACAGCAGGAGGCTGTTTACAGCCCAGCAGGAAATCATTCAATTAGGGAGGAGTCGCTCAAGCACTGGCCATCCCATTTACTTCATCAGACTGATCCGGGAAGGTAAAGACCCTGAGAGCATCGCCGCAGCTGCCAATCACTCACACACACCACTCTCTATATAAAAGGCCTTGTTTTGAATATTTATTGACATCAAAGAGCACATGAATTTTGCCCCTAACATGTAAAAGCAGGCTACTCTGAATTGTGAAACTCCTATTGTTCGTTTAGAAGATGCATGTTTGCTGTCCAAGTTGTCAGACATATTATATCTTGGATATACACTATATAACAGATTGCAGCTTACAGCAGTTAGTTCCAGTCCTTGGATTTGATAGGTTGAATCACTGAGACTTTTTGCTCTGTTTGAGTTTCAGACAGACTGTCAATCTGTGTGTTAGTGGTGGGGATTTTCAGTGTCTTTCTCTGCATGTTACATAGTTATGGCAGTAGGTGGCGACAAATTCATTTTTGAATGAATCATTGAATCATTCATTTAACAAATTGCTTTAAAGACACTGATTCATTCAGCAGAACATGTAATTGTATAAATGAGTGAGTTCAAAAGCAAATAAACAAAAATAAATAAAACAAAATAAATTAATTTCAGTGTTCAAAGAAGAAGCACACAATTCATCAATTACCTAAACAATATGCATTTAGGCTTACAAATAAAAATGATATAGTATCAGTAATTTATCTAATAAATCAATTATTTACTTTAGCTAAAAAATCATAATCTTCAAATTAAAAAATGAATCTTCAAAGAAACTCACTTAATTTTGACTTGAATTTCTCTTGAAGAAATAATCTTCTTTCCCCATTTAGACTCTTGAAATTTTTTCTAACAAATAAAAATGTTTCAAATATATTTTAAATTTTTATTGTTGTTGATTTTCAGAATATACATTTCCAAACAAAATAATACTTGAGTACACCAGGTCTTTATCTGCATGTTTCAAAGTTACGCCAGTAGGTGGCGAGAAATTAATTTATGAGTGAATCATTCATTCAACTGATTCGTTCAAAGAAACCGATTCATTCTTTCAGTGAAACAGGTGACTGTATTTCAGAGTGAGTCATTGAATCGTTTACTCAACCCATTCATTCAAAAGAACTGATTCATTCAGGAACAAAGCACCACTACTGCCTTTTGCTCTGAGATCAATTAATTGTTGGATCACACACAAAGTAACTGCAAATATTGTGTATGAAATGTAAGTTCCTTAATCATTATGCTCTTTAAATGCCAACAGAAAAATAAAAAAGAGTGAAACGTTCGGAAACCGGGGTCTATATATAACAACAACTCAACATAGTACGCTATAATTGTGTTCGAAATCAAAGTCATAAGATACACT